ACGGCTTTCACGGACAGGCCTTGAAGCCGTTGCAGCAGCAAGCGAAGCGCAAGCACAAACCATGCGACCACTCCACGCATCGCACCACTCCAGGCAGTTCGACCTGCATGAGATTGCAGCACAAGCGGACTCAGTTTCAGGCTAGCCATGCCTCGTAGAGCAAACTGGCAGAAGCCGCCTGTGCTGATACTTCACACCGATGTTGCCACGGACTGTGTCCCATGAAATCTGTTTTGCTATCCCTTCGTTGCAGATCAACACGTCAAGACTGGATACCCACCCCTTGTTGTTGTGCTGGCAACGCTGGGGGCTCTCTTTTCATAATGGTCCTGGTCCTGGCTTTCTGTTGTTCGGGATCGCCTTGTTATGCTGAACCTGGCTTGTCTTTATGCTGCTGCTCCCTCCCTAACGCTTACCTCACTTGCATTTTCTGCTGGGGGGTGTGTGGTGGCTCTGTGCCCATGCTGCATGAAAGAAGCTGACCTGCCCCCCGACACCCTTTTGTTCTGCGTCTTGACGGTGCTGATTCTTATTTACGTTGGCGAAGGCTTTTCCAGTGGAGCTGCTTGGGATGGCATGATGTGACGATATTCATGTTCCTCTTTCTTGCTGTCTTTCTGCGGGCCTGAGGGGGAAGTTGCGTTGTTCCTCTCTCTCTCTCACGGAATGGAGACATGGCATGGAGGTGGATGTATGTTGAAAAAATGAGCACAAACAATCACTCGCAGTCCAGACTGGACTGTCACTGGATTTCATTATCGACATCAAATTAAAACGTACCAAAATATGTCTTGAGCGCCTCCCACAGCAGCACAAAGTTGTCTGCACCGCATGTCAGCAGCAGTCCCTCATCGTTGTTGAGAGAGCATGCCCACACAGCGCCCCTGTTCAGAGAGATGCATCGACATAGAGGGACGAAGTTCATTCTGCTCGCTCGTCTGGCCTATGCCCTTCGTACTTGCGGAGGCACCTGATGCACAGATCGCATTGTATCCACGGCCGTCGAATGTTTCAGTCCTCGCTAATTTGCACAAGTGGCAACCTCCGGAGCTGAGGCGCTCACTCTCCGTCGGGCACGCTCCAGGCAATGACCAACTTGTCCTGTCCCCATGGCCCCATGGTGCCCACAACCAGAATGCACAAGTTGATACGCATGTCCTTGCCGCAAGTGTACAATGTTTTTCCAGCAGCATCGAAGGCGACGTATGTGACGGGTCGTGAATGTCCTGGATCCGTAAACGATGCTAGGACAAAGGGAATCCCGCCAAAAAAACTGTCCTTGTAGCACAACGTCGTGTCTTTGAGCCTTGTGGACCTGGCTTTTTCAAGAGCAGGCGGACGACGTCAGAGCGTCCGCAGTGGTCCGGGCGTGCTGGGCTACCGGCCGTGTTCAGCTGCAAAGGCTTACGTTCTGCTGGCACATCTGGAGCAGGGCTTGGCCCTAAGGACGGAGAGGAAGTCGCCGGTTCAGGGCCTTAGCGTGATGCCACATATGCCTCAAGCGACTGGAACTTCTACCCGTGTCGCCTTCAAAGCCCGGAGGTGCAGAACCAGTTGGCCGGGGGAGAACCTCACAGAGCAGAGGCAAAAGCACGACGACGACGACGACCGCTTTCTCTTAGGGAGGGTCCTGGACGACAGGCTTGCCGTCGGGTCCAATTTTTGTCATTCGGCCCACGATGTCGTCGACGTCTTGGTCCGTCAGCTTTCCTGGCATGGCTGGTGTTGCAATTTGCGGCTTGCATCAAAACTTGCACTTTACCCGGAGGCTGGCCTCCGCCATAGCCCTTTCGAGGCACGGACATCCTGTCGGGTCGATCTTTCTCTCCAGCCTGGCACAGATGCATCTCTTTCATGGCCGGGTGAATGCAAAAAGCTCGGCATACCTCGGCATGGTTGGTCCAGTTAGGTGATCAGCCAAGCCAAACGATTCAGTCCTTCCTACTGCCCGCCTCGGGCGACCCAGGCGCGCAACTCAACGAGGAACCCAACATGAACATCAGCACCATTGTGTTTTTTCATAAGGAATTTGCGGAAAGCTCCGAAGACAGGACGGTTTGCTCGAGAAGTTGGAAACAGGAACTGCAAGGAATTTCACTCGTCTTGTTTACAGGCACCCTATGCGGCGGACTCAGCATGACATGCCTCTGTGCCGTCGCCGCGGCCGTCACCCTTGCGACCCGTGTTGTTGCGCGGCGCCTAGGCAACGAGTTGTTGGGCTGGCCGCAACGGTTGCAATCGGCACATGGAGATGGCCAATTACTACTGAACCCAAATCGCTAACTGTTTGTTGACCTGCCTCGAAAGTCTCGGCGGCACCTCTGCCGGCACCGGCGCCGCCAACATGGCCGTCATCTGGCCGAAGCTGCGTGAGACTCGAACAAAAGCTCGTTACATGCCTGCCTGGCCTGCCTGCTTCGTCATCTCCCTTGAACTCCTTGTGAAAGGACGTTGCTCTCGCGAACAGTCGCTACAGCATGCAAGTTTGAGCATGCAGCCGCTCCTGCGATCTCGCTTTGCGAGCTTTCCAAAGTTCGCTAATGGTGGCATCCACAGATTGTTCAGCATCGTAAGGCACCTCGACATCTACAATATCTACAATCGCAATTTGTGCATGAACAGCTTGCAGCACACAGCTTATCTGCGAACATGGGATCCTCCAGTGCGTCCTCGAACTCTTCAGGCTCTTCACTCGGCATCTTCACTGGCAACTGCTGCTCTTGGAGATCCTGTGCAAGTGATGCAAGTGGGTCTTCTCGTGGTTTGTGACAAATCCGTTGCTAGCGAGTTCGGCTCCACTGACGGCCTCTTTCGGAATGCTGTCCCAAAACTTCGTCCTGGCCAAGAGGCGCGTCAAGCCGAGGTCTGCTCGTGCAAGTTGAAGTCACATTCGGTCTAGCAGATTTTCAGCAACCTGTCCTGCCAGCAGCTTTGCCTTTATCAGCGGCATAGAGCAGAAGCTTCTGCGCCTGGTTCTGCAGTCTTCCTACAGTCTGTTCAGCGAGGTACCGCTGTGCACTTGGTCCTGCGTTGTCACACCCGCGGCCTCATGCGTGGGCAGCTTCAATAGCACTCAGCCTTCTGATATTGCAAGCTGAGGAGCTTGAACGAGGAATTTGACCTTCTTACCTTGTCTTCGCATCAGCTGCATCAAGCTGTGAGGTTGTATTCTCGGCTCAGCTAGGCTGCTGCTGTCAGGACTTCCCCCTTCTTCCGGCGACTTCCGTATGATCTGCCTCGCATGCAGCCGAACTGAGCTCTTGCCTGGTCCGATCGCCTTCATGCAACGAACCTGACTAGGAAGCAAGGGGTAGACTGATTTCTAGCTGGGTTGTTGGATGCAGGAAACCGCAAAGTTGCAGTCACATTGCACATCGTGGAACTCTCCCTGGCGAATTGAACCAGACGCCGGCCTCAGAATCAAGACGCCGTTGGGCTGTTGGCACTTGTCGGGTCAAGAAGCAGTAGTTCAGCAAGCAACTATGGCAACGCGAGGCCCCCACTTTATGGTGTAGTCCTTGGGGGCTGTGGTCTTCATTTTGTAAGCAACTTGGCCGCTCCACCTTGGAGAAAACACAAGCATGAATGATCAGCCGAATGATGACAACCATGCCCTGAAAATGAGGAGAGGAGTGCTCAACTGCCAACACGGCACGTATTCCGCAGCTTCACCCAGGCATTCAATGAGCCTTAGACGATCCGCACCCTGCACATCCTCCTTAGGAGGTCCATGTCTCAAGCCTTTCTGATGCCTCCCTACATCGAGTCCCCATCCATCGCGGGCAACACGGAACTCGACCGCCTCGCGATGTGCAGACATGATACACGACTTGCCTGGGACAGTGCATTTTCTGGATTGGAGTGTCCCACAGAATCGGGGTGTCTTTCTGAAGTCTCAACACGGATTACGTCCCTTGTCAGGATCCGGGACAGTGTATGTGCCGTTTCCCTTCAGCTCTTGCCTCGGGGAGAGCTTTATCAGTTGTTCCAAAGCAGGCTGTGCCCAGGCTTGGGCGTTGAGGTGTTAACTTTATTAATTAACCTTAGACATTTCTGACCCGTTGGGCAAACTCTTTGCTGCCAGTCAAGCACTGGAACAACTGCAAGTCTAGAGACACTCATAACTCCGATGTTTGGCCTCTGGCTGTGGCGATATCACAGTCAAAGGGGCCATTGCTGGAGTCAGGCAGCGTGCAATCAAGGCATTGCGACGGGCAGGGCTGCAGAAGGAGTTGATCTGTCGATGCAGGCGTAAACTGCTGCCAGTCTTTCTCGTCAAATGGTGCATACTCTGTTCGGGTGCCACTTAATTCGGTACAAGTCTGCAATCATTGACTCCGGATATTTCTATTGGATCGTGCATTGCTTGCCAGGGGAACACAGGTGGGTCTTGTGCTATGCCATGCGGATCTCTCAGGGCAGAGTGATCGGCAAGGCCAGCGAAGCTGCCAGCTGTTAGGATCTCCTGAAGCAACTGTATTTTGTTGTGATTTCCTGGCAGCTGCAATGTGTTGGCTTCATGACGAGGTTGCGCTCTGAGAACTGCAGCCAAAATTTCATTGGTAGAATTTAATTTGCAGTTTCAGTCGGATCTACGGTGCTGCGATGTTGGGTCACATGGCATTGGGTGCCTGATCCCGTTCCTGCAGAAACGCAAAAAAGAATTCCGGTGTCCCAGCACAAACGACCACAAACGCTAGATCCGCGAGGCCGGGCCAAGCCAAAAGGTGCTCCAGTGTACCAGTCTGGCACGGCACCACCCTTCTCATGCGGAGCTAAGCCCATCTGGAAGCATGCAGATTGTGCTGGCGGCACATGCAGGTTATCGAGCAGCTTAGCTCCGGAAACTCATATACAGGCATGCATATCTCTCAGAGATGGCAGCAAAAAGGATAAATAGGTGGTAAAGGAACGGCATCTTGGCCCGAGCAAGAGCAGAATCTGACGGCAGTCGGCTCCAAGCGGAAGCCAAACGCCTTTTGAGCTGGTCGGAGCTGAACTCAATTTCCGGTGGCGCTGGCACGCTTCTCCACGTACTTCCTCACATGCGGGTACAACAAATTGTGCCGCATGGCAAGGAACTTCTCGTAGGCTTGTGTAATACCTACGTATGCATTGCCAAGGGTCTGAAGGAATCGGACAGACAAGCCTTGGACCAAGCAGTTCTGCCAAATTGCTATGGTCTCGTGAAATTTTCTGAGCATCAAAGCAAGCAGCCCTGTCTATTGTTGCCCCAGAATGACCGACAGCAAAGCAGGCTTGAAGCCGCAGTAGTTCAGTGCTAGTATATGGAACATACCAAAACGGAGGGAAGGCGAACTCTGCTTCCTCCCTTTGCTGTTGTCATGCCCGAAAGTGAAAGTCAAAATGCAGACCCCAGCCCCACATTGGGCTTGGACATAGTTGCGGTGTGTGGCATGGAATGCAAGAGGCGAGACTGCTAAGCTGCTATGCTAAGCACTGTTAAGCCAAGCAGGGCTAAGCCTAGGCGAGCAGCTGACCAAGATGGATCCAATCAGCCCGAGGCCCGACCAGATCAGCAGCAGCTCTGTCGCACTCCATCCATAGAGTTCAGTGTTGTAGGTGACCATTGACAACCCCAAATACCAAAAGACAGCAAAGGAGGTCACCACATCCTTGGTGCTGTGCAGGCCGCACATACAGATTGGGCTGCCATAACTGCCACAGATTTAGCTCAGCCGCTGTAAAGCTCTCCTGTGTGCTGTGCAACAGCTGGGCATCTCGAGGAAAGCTTCGCCGTCGGACTAGGAACAGCTTCCTGAGCAAACAGACACGACTGAAACGATGCGATGACACTGTGGCGATTAAAACAAAACACAAGTGTTGGAGATGGTGCTGAATGCATCCCACTGGCGGGAGCTTGCACCGCACCTCCAAAAGCCTCGCCAGCAGTGTGGGGATGATGCCCCAGGGAAGCACGGGCGCGAATAGTACTACGAAGAGGAAGTTCAGTTTGATGTCCTGGCCACGGAAAGTCTCACGGTTGCATTTGCTGGTAACGCATCAAAATTGCTCTCTTCTTGGGCCACGCTCCTTGAGCTCATCCAACGCATCGAACTCCCGCAACACTACTTGTTCCAGAGGGCCATCCAAACATCGCTCGCCTTGACTCAATTGATTGATAGTCGCAAGGGAGCGCCGAACTGCCCCAAACACTATCAAAGGCAAAGCGCCAAAGCGCAAAAGGCTGGAAGAGCCGGAAACATGTTACTCTCATTAAGATGGTCCCATTGGGCTACCTGCCAGTCTCAATCCAGCGCAATTGCAAACTTGCTGCAGCAATCGTCGTTGTCGGCATCTGACATGTCCAGTTCAGTCGTGGCAAATGTGCGGCCGCAGCATAGATAGCCTGAAGCAGGATGGGACCGCGACCGAGCGGCTTCTGAAAGAGCCGTCCATGTCTCACATCATGCCTAGCATGAACTGGACGGCCACGGTGCGTAAACCCGTCACTTCGGCATCCAGCACAAAGATGAGAGACAGCCTCACAATCCGTGCCGGGTTTGGGCTTGTGAGCCGCTTGTGCGCTTTGACTGCTTGGAGCGTTGAACTGCCAAGATGCAGCCAAGTGGCAGTCGCGCGAGAGGTACGCCACAGCAAAGGCACCACCATCGTGCCAAACATCTCCGAACGCGTCTGCACATTCCGCTTTGGTTAGCCTCTGCTGGGGGATTGGATCTGCGTTTGCACTTTGTAATGCTGTGTAGACCTCTCTCTGCCCCGACCCCGCTTTGGCCTTTGCATTGGTGTCCCGATGGTCGGCCCAGTTGTTCAATCGCTTGGCAATTAACGGGGCAAGAACCGCCGGGATCATGTCGACAAAAGGACCTTCAGTGTACCCCAACTCGCATTGAAGCAAAGAGCTCAACAGCGATCACAACATCGCCCAGCTAAGGTCAGGGCAAACGATGAATGGACCCAAGAGCCACTGTTCGAACAGAAGGCGCCTGTTTTCCTGGGCAAATCCGGTACGTTTTCTCGAAGCCCCTGTTTTTGAACGTTTGAAAGGATCTGGCTTGCAACCCTGCCACAAAGCTCAAGAAAGATTTGGCACACAGCAAGGTACCTCAATCAGATCGCATCTATCGCACTGGCACTTGGGTCACAAATACTTGGACTCTCACTAGACGGATAGCTTCACGTCACTCAGCCTGATCTTGCCGAACTCAGCGACTCAAACTGCAGCCGGTGCGACCACTACAGCATAGCGGATCATCCCGCAAATCACATCCAGCCATGTTCGAGCAAATCCTGAGCCCGGTGTGGTCTATGAGCCAGAGCTAGTCGCAAGATCACGCTGTAATTGCAGACGAGCTTCTGATAATCTGGAAAGTCCTTGCAAGCCTGCCGGGCATCTGGCAGCTCCGTCGACACAGGGTCCGGATGCCAACTTGGAAGAAAGATGAAGGCCAACCTGAGTCCACGAATCGCCTGCACATCCTCTGGCAACTTTGTTGCTGCCCAGCCACAGCGAGAAGACTCCAACCTCAGACGCCCCAGGCTTCAAGGTCATCCGTTTGGTGTTGGGAGTCTTGGGTCTGCATGTCAGGCTTCAGGCTGTAGGGGTGAGGGGTGTTGGTGCGAGCTCGTCACACGGTCAAGAGAACTTCTTGCCTTGGCCAAGATCTCGATGAACAGGGAGAGCATCGCTTGGACGTACTGACGTCTCCGCATGTACTGGTCAGGTTGGGAAACGACTTCGGTTCCAGGGTCCACGGAATTAAAGCCCCGCCTTGAAGTTCCAGAGTTTGGCAAGTGCTGCGGCGACTGCCTTGCAAGCCTCACCAAGCCTGGCATGACAGGCTAAGAAAGAGGTGAACGCGCTCCTTCTTCGCTCTCAGGCAAGCAGCAGAACCACGAAAATCAACGCTAGCGAGATGTCGACAGCTATATCTGCGAGAAGTCCTTTGATGCCATGCTTGTGCCTCGGCAGTACTTCGTGATGTAGGTGCAAAAGCTATTGCAATGTTCGGAACAGACTGACAGAAGCACTCGAAACCAACGCATGCAGTAATCAACAGACTGGATGCAATGGATTGTTGCAGCTCTCCCTCAGGCAGTCGCCCCAGTCATATATCAGGTGCGACTTCCTTGCGACATGCACTGCGACACACCAGCATGGGCAAATTATGCAACTCTGCGGGAGGACATTCTGTTTTCGAATTAGCGGCATGTTCAAGAAAAATGTTAACAGAATGAAGGCAGCCGCCAGGAAGGCCAACATCACAACCTAAGCACGTGTTGCAAAGTGTATATACCGATGTGAACTCACGTTCGCTTGTGCACTTGCATTCAAGCGGCAACCGTGACGAAGCCTGCAAAGACAGCCCATGCCTGAAGCTGCCAGCATGTCGAAGGGTTACACGCGCTCTCAATAGATGTAGCATCAAGTGAATCTAGTGCTGTTCTCATGCTCGGGTCTCTCAGCCACACTTGTCTTTGATTGCTGGCAAGCTGCCCGGGGCCATCTTCGTGCAGTGTAATCAGGGTTATGTCGTCGGACTGCTATCCTTGCTCGATGTCTTGACATCGCGGGCCCCGCTCCCCAACTCAGCCAGGGCACTGCTTCGACTCCCAGCCTTGCAAAAAAGCGGCAAATTGTGTTTACGGCTCCTTGAACTTGGAGCATACGCAGTGCATCCAAGCAGCCAATGAACTTTGCTTTCAAGAGCGCGCGCCTCAATCAGTAGCAGAACTGCTGTCAAGCACTCGCAGGTACTTACAAACTGCTCACGTCGACAATGCTAGCACATAGACTCAGACATCCCTCCGATCACTTGAGGCGGGTTGAATTGAGTCTGGGCTGGACCCGAGTGAACTACCATACCGGGTCGAAGTATGCAATCGAAACCCGTCTGCTAATCAGCCCTCATACGGAAATCATGACAAGCGGAAGCGGGACAAGCCAAGCGAACCACGGAAGCAGCACATGAATGGCATCGGAGCACAGGCCTATATGAGGCCACAGAGTAGTAAGCCTGTGTATGGCAAGCTGCTGCAGCTTTTCCCCCATCTCCCGCCGCTTCTCCTGAGGAACCTCGTCTATGCCCTCCAACCTGCAGGGGGACTGTCCAAGGAAAACCGTTCAGGTACGGGCAGGGTTATGTGCAACCGAGGAACAGTCGAGCAGGTGAATGCACATCCTTGCTGGTCAAGGGCGGGCCTGCCATGAACAGATGCTGTGCTTCGGCGCTTCGCCTCTAGGATGGAATGCGGGACCCAAAGCACTCTGTCCTCTGAGCTTCTTTCAAGATGAGCTCATTACAAGGAGAGCCCGTCAAAGCACCCCGCTTCTTGCATCATGCAAGACATGCTAGCCGAACCGAGATCGTGCATGCTTTTGGACACTTTGCGGAGGTGAAGGCTGCTGTCCTGCTCAGGCTGTTGACAAGAGGAAAGGCAAATTACTCGACTCTCTGTGCAAACAAGTGGCAAGGCCAACGCCTGTCTCTTCTAATGGGCTTGTTCGTGCCCGCAGAGATTGAAATTGTCCCATTGGGAGCTCATCGGCCACATGGCCATGCTGCGAGTCACCCTGTTCGGACCACCCCGTCCCATCCACTGAGGGAGCGCTGCCAGAATTAGCTGTCGACGGCATGTTCGTTGGCATGTTCGTTTGCATGTTCGATGGCATGTTGCTGCTCTCTGGTGAACATCCCACAACCTTGCGCATCCGCTGTCAGCTGCACAAACTGTCTCGAACTGCAAGTATCCTAAACATAGAAGCAGCTGCAACTAAATCTTGCCATGCGGCTCGAAAATTGGAGGCAGCATTTCCATGGATTCCACCGCTCCTCAACACTGATCTGCGGCTGCCCGCGACCTTGTTTCCATGTATGAGACGCCTGGTTGGCATACTGAGCTCGGACCAGCCCAGCACCGGGAAGTGGAGACTTTAATGCTTGGTGGCAAGGTAGAAACTGTGGCTAGTCTTCAGAGCTTTCGATCGAATTTCGGTCGGTCTTTCAATCTTGTGGTCCAGCTGGTTGGAAACGAAGCAGCCAAGCCTCTCCCGGCCCTTTGCCGGTTCTTGAAGCAGTCCGGTGCCACAGTTACCAACAAAGAGCGAGTTAGGACAGTCAGGAGAGCACAGAAGTCATGCATGTTAGTTTGCAGACCTGCAGTCTTGCCACTGCCTCCAAGCGACTGCGCACAAACAGATGGCCCAGCAAAGAATCAAGAATTGCAATAGATACCACCTGCAGGGAGCAATGCTTGCAGAAAACACTCTTGTGCTAGTTCTCGAGTGCTGAATTGATGCAATCATGAGCGCCGCACAGTATTCCCTCGTATCCACCCATCTGAGGACGAGCTCCACAGATCCAGAAGGCCAAGCAAACAGCAGTCAGCACCCAAAGACTGCGAACGAATACGTTTGTCCAAGCAAAAACATAGCCGACCTGACCACTTGCTGCACACTGTGAAACGAGAAACCACGTCACGCAGCCGAAGCTCATCCCGGCCTCACGGCCGTAGTGATCCAAGAGACATTCTTCGAGAACAGTTCCGCCTAGCAGCTCGCAGCTCGCGTCATTTCAGCCATCAAGAGAACTGCATGAGGAGGCTTCCTGGAGGCTGAATTATCCTCAATGCCCAGAGAACTTTTCTCCACCATGGAGCATCATTTCCAGCATACCTCGTGAGGAGGCAGAGGCAAGGTCCGAAATTGAAGCGCATCGTGCGAAGGATAAACGCCTCGAGCTCTAGATGTTCAAGCTCCCTGTGGATGGACAGCAGGTGGCACAGCGAGGCTCCAAATGTACCGCTGCTGGCTTTTGTTCGCTTTCTCTTCTTGTCTGCTCTGAGCTCCTAGCTCGCATAACGCAATGGCGGAGGCGATGTCCTTGTCATGTAGAGGCCAAAGGAAAGGACCAGAATCAGGAGGGTGAAGCTTGGCCGTTGCTGCTGTCACCAGCCTTGCATTTTGTGAAACTGTCGGGTCATCTCAGCATACTGACAACGACCGTTTTGAATTCTGCTTTAGCCCAGGAGTCGAAGCGAAGAGCTCCAAGGTGATCGCCGGAGGATCGTTTGTCGGATTTTCGCCCTCCCACCTGCGCTTTTCATGCGGGACGGGAAAATCGCGAACAGGTTTCTGTTCTTGCTTTGCATGCCCGACCTCAGAATCCACAAGCACACCTCCTGTCCGCAGTACAGGGTCTCTGCGAAGGCTTCAATCCTCAGCTGTGTGCGACGGGCATAAGCCTCAAAGAAAAGCCCCCGTGCTTGCTTGGAAAGAAGATGACACATGACACTTGATCTCTCGCAGAAAGAACACCCTGACACCGCCGTGCAGCCACAACACCTTTAAATGCAGAAGCTTGAAGCTGTAACCGAGATGCAAAACACCGCGGTCGGACAGTGCATCGAGTGCCGTAAGGGCTTCGTCGGAAGCAGCGGTGGGCAGTAGCAGGCAGAGCAAAGGAGGCTGCTTCCACTCCTCGGTGAGGCGCTGGCAGATCTTCTCCACCTGACACACACCCGAACTCCACAGTGCGGCCCTCTGTGTGGCATGACGGCCTCATTCCACTTCCATCTGGCTTTCAGGGCCAGGTATGCCACTTTCCGCTGGATCGCGCTGACTCTCACTTTCCGTGCCCTTAGCCACGCAAATGCAATGTTGCAACTCTTGATCACGGACACGCTGATTCACTGATCGTGCACTGCAACTGAGCTCGCGGCCATGCCCAGTGCTTGTTGATTTTATGCGAGCCTTTGGTGCCTGCTTGTCGGGTCACCGGCTGTAGCTTCTTGAGCGCTGTTGGCCCAGCAGCGGACATTCCCTAAAGCAGCAGCATTCTTGCTGCGGTGCTCGATCCAAAACATATATATAATCGGTGTGTTCCACCTGGGATCTGTTCCTCGTCCTAGCAGGTCCTAGTCCTAGCAGTCCTGGCTCGAGAGCAGAGGAGAGCTGCAGCAGGCACAATTTTTAAGACAGGCACGCGTACCTTCGCTACGCAAACGCCGCTGCTGCTTTTCAGCAAGACGTGCAAGTCGATGGAATGAACTGCAGCCTGGTGAGAAGTTGCTCTGCTTAGCCAAGCGGCTACACCTGAATGATTCTGAACTCTGGCCGCGTTTGCTACATACTTGCATGCGATTGCTAGGGGTAACAAAGGTAAGACTTGTGTGGGGCGCCTCCTGTTCCCGGAATCTTTGGACATGTCGGTGGCCAAGCTGAGACTATGCCAATCTGCACTGCGAAGGTTTGAGCACTGTGGATTATTGCAGGGTGCTGTGGCGAAAGCTGGCACTACCTACGTCCGTGCACAACTTATACCTTGCAGTCGTCGCGCCGCCTACATACTTGGCAAAATGGGCTTCAAACCGTAAGTGGGATCGGGGATCGGAAGGAATCGGTGCGGGTGCGACATGGTGCGACATGAGAGATTTGCTGAGGCACCCGTCGTTGGAGCTTGGGCTTCGAAAGCCCGGCCTTGCTCCTGTTAAGAACACGACATTTGGAGACACTAAACCACGAAGTCCGTCAGCATCAGCGCTTCGCTTCGCTACCCATGGTTGTTTGGTTTGGTTTACGCTCGGCCGCTTGGCTGCACACGTTGGCTGCTGAGCATCCGGTTGCCTTGCTCTGACCAGATCCCTGAGACGAAATACAAGTAATTCCTGCTACTTCCAGCCATTTCCTGGCTCCTCACTGCGATGTCCACACTCAGGCGACTCCTGCGTCAACAAAGTGATGCACGTCGCCTTGAAGGTCTGCCAGCCAATTGCGAGCTTTGAGCCATGTAGGGAGGTGGTGCAGGTGACACCAGCTTTGGGCCAGCCCAGTTCTGACGTGTGACAAGTTCTGGCGTCGTGTAGGGCTTGTATGGCTGGGGCTGAGACGAGAGCTTTGAGCCAGCCCAGTTTTGATATGTGGTAGGTTCCGATCTCGCAGGGCCGGTTGGCCGTGGTGGTTGGTCCAGCTGGCTTGTGGACGGAGTGCGAAGCTCTTCCGGAGGATTTCTTCCTGGACGCCAGATTTCCAGTTGGATTGGCCTCCTCACAGCTCTGTGTGCGCTTTGCGCCTTCCTGAGCTCCTGAGCCAGTTGCTGGGGATTCAGGACAATCACCCCGTTCACCTGCAAGATGTGGTCACCAACAGCCCAACCCGCCATATTGGCCACTTGTGTATTGGTAATGCCTGAAATCGTCAAGCCATGCAGGGCAATCCCCAAATCTCCATCGTGAGCGTCTGCCAGGGACACAGCGACTCGACCCCCACTTGGCCACTTGTCTCTGGATAAGGAGGATTCAAGGTTCGATATCTTTTGCTGCAGCCCTTCTAGCCGGTGTTCGGCTTTCTGAACTTCTTCCACGATGCTTCCAGACTGTGTTGCAGCAAGGAGGTAAGGGCCAGCACCATCCGACTGGACATGTCCCGGGTGCCGAAACTCCTCGTCCCTTGGTTGCCAGTGGCGTCTCACTCCATCTAAAGGATTCCATTTCTGCATCTCCAAGCTCTCCCTGATGGGCTCGCTGCCTGGTAGATATGGCGACCCCGCTAGGCCTGTCTGCAGGCCTGTGTGCCAGCCTGTCCGGAGGCCTCCTTGGCCATCTGCCATGTCCATCAAGGAGAATGAGAAACGTCGCTCGAGGGTGCGAGTTGGACCGCTATGGCTAGAGAGTGTCGCGGGCTCCCTATGTGAAGGCGTGTTGGGTACAGCCGGTGACCCTCGCTTTGCCCCACAATGACGGCAAAACACTGAGTCCCAATGATCGAATCTCTTGCCACAGTTCCAGCACAACTCTTCTGGATGCAGGTTCTGGGCTGCGTCCGGCTTTGCAGGGGACGTCTCCTCAGGCCAGGCTCCGACACCTGCCCCAGTGTCAAGATCGGTCTTGTTGAAGGTGCGCGATTCTGGAGGATCATCACTGAAACTCACTCGTCGGGGGTTTCTGGCCTCTGGCTGGGAGCCCTCCACGGTGAAGCCGCCGGATGCCACATCGCCGAGGGAAAGGCCAAAGCCGTCGTGAGTATCTGCGACATTGGCTTCCACCCAGCCAGTTGCAAAATCCTCGTCGCCTCCTTTGTTTTTCTTCTTCTTTTTCTTGTGCGGCTTGCCAGCGGTCGCCGAAGAGTCTTCACCAGAAAGCGCCACATCAGGAAACATGCTGAAATGATATGTGATGTTTACTCTTGTGATGTTTTTAAATGATAACCCGGCAGGATCTATTCAAATGATTCAAAAGATCAGGGTCTTTCCGAGTCTTGCCTGCCGAGAGCAGTGAGAAGGTAACGAGTGAGTTCAAGCTAAACAAAGCTCTACCCCGTGGCTGCAGCCTCACAATCCAAGGCAAACCAACAAGGCTTATAATTAGCTGGCAGACCACATCACTAAAGATATGATGCTGTGGAAGGTCGGAGGGGTGAAGAACCTAGGAAGTCACGCCATTCGAGTGCCCCTGTGCGCGATCACTTCATGCTACGGGTTCAAAAGATCTGTACCAAACTCGGCAAGCTGTGAACGCCAGGCCGGTTCCACAACAGCTCATGGCAGCTGCTTGATCTTGGAATGGCCGGCTGGTCGGCTCCAGGGTTGCCTTCTTCGGATCTACGCATGCTCGGTCCATCCATCGAAAGTCGAAAACAGAAAGTCGATTCAGACCCTGGACTCCACCAACGGCGGGAGGGGAGAGAGGGTGAGAGAGGGCAAACAACGATCGGAGCATCTCGGCCAGCAAGCATACTGCATGGACTGCATGGAATACTCCACATTTTCCCTCGAGAAATGTGGTCGCATGCTGAGGCCCGCTTGTCTCGGATTATACGGAGTGCAGCACATGCTTACTGAGGCTCCCGATGGCTCCCGATCGTGCAATGAACTGGCCGTGCGCAGGTTCGGCGATTCTTTCGTGGAGTGTGCATGTTCGCAAACCACTTCTGCAAGACAGCCGCTCCTAGCTGTGGATGGCTGGCAGGGACAGGCTGAATTCTTCTTTTCGAAAAAAGCGGGCGCGGCATACTTTTCTACGATTCAGCAAGCAACACGCACTTCAACCCCGTCTTAGTGTGCAGCCGTCAAGTTGGCCATGAATTGAGACATGGGATGTCCTGGCCTGCAATGAACGAATTAAGCAACTCGACGCGCAAACCGAAGTGGTGGCTAATTCCTGTACATTCGAAAACAGCTCCGGCTCTCGAGCAACGGGGTCGATGCTTCATTCTCTCGTGAGCATCTGGCCGGCGCCTGCAAAAGCAAGCAGCAGCTAGATCCCACAAATTCTGGTCCACCCTTTGGTTCGTTCGAACAATTCCACATCTTGGCTCCCGCATCTATTGCGTTGGAAGGCTCGTGCGTTTTAGTGTTCTCTCTACACTCTGCCGACTCCCTAGAGCGTGCCGGAGTCGCATCAGGATGTATCTGGTACGCATGGCAGCGCGACGATGTCCAACCGGATCAAGAAAGAATGAACTAGGCAGTCGCAGCTATGCTCTGTCTCAGACCCTCCAGCCGGCCTGACATCTCTGGCCGCAGACGCGTAAAGCGATTGTTGCAGGCTTCCAATGCTTCTCGCAGCACCATGCATTGATGCTCCCCTCGGCTGTTCTTTTCTCGAAATGTAAGTTTGAAACGCTACGGAAACGTGAGCAGCACGGAAAGAACGTACACTGACTCAATCCTCGCGACTGTGCTGCAGCTTCTGTGTCAAGGCTTCTGCTCTTCTCTGAAGGTCTTGCACAGGTAGTTTGGCAACATCCTCCGCCTGAACCTGGACCCACTGTGGACTTGGCATCTCAAGGTCCTTCAGGGTGTGCATGCACATCTGTCGAATCGCCGCTTCAGTCGCAGCATACAGAATGCTCATACTAGTACCATCACGTCCTTCAAGAGGCTCATGCTGTCCAGGGGTGAAGACACAGATGAGAAGGAATCAGTGGGCGTGTGCTGCAAGCGACAACGATCGGTGGCGCTTCCTTCACTGCCTATGTTCTCCCTGGCAGCTGTAGAGGTAGGCGATTGTGTCGACGACAACTGCAAACTGCTGTGCTCACTTCCTTTGAGGCTTGACCTGTGGCCGCTGGGTTGTCGCCAGCACGAAGCCACACGCACTTCGAGCTTTCGCAAGCAATGCGACTGTGATTGATTTGCGGTGGCCTCATCCTGTATTGCAAGGGCGCTGATACAGGCTGGTAAGTTTCTGCTCCTAAGCCACAGCACTTCATCTTCCAGGGTGTCCGCAGCTATCTCATCACGAAGTCGCCCGTCATCTGACGACTGCCGTTCAGACGAGGCAGTCTGTGTGCCGGCATCAATTCGGCACACCTGAGCATTGCAGATGATCCGACAAAGCAGGCTTTGAAGCTAAACATCGCGGGCCTGAAGGACGGACCAATCCTGGGACTCACCTCGGTCCGCATGTGCTTATGTGTCTGGGTCATTCTGGGTCCCAGCTCGAAACAAAGCGGCTAGATTGGCTAGATATGTCTTGGCAATCGAGGGAGTGGGGCTGCCACAATTCTGGCATGCTGACTTTTGAAAGACCACAAGGCCCGCGACAAGAAACTGAGTCCGGCTCCAGGGGAGCATGGCAAGCCGGATGTTGGTGGACTGAGCCGCACCGGTGAAAATGTCGTGTCGTGCGTTTGGAATTCTGGCCTGGCAGGTGAGACCTTAGAATTCGGAACAACATGCAAGCAGGGCACAAGCTCGAGTTCGCAGCCTGCCCACAATTGCTAAGTGTTGAGCCGACGTCACTTCGTCCCTGGGCTGGAAGTTCGTCGTGGCTTGGCTGAAACGAACAGGATTCAGCCAAGCTTCTTCGCACATATGCGAGCATCCTCTGCTAATCTACGCATCTCTTGCTTCTGCTGCGGCCGCGACGGCCTCGCCTCAATAAGACCGGACGGGCGTGGACCAGAAGTTCAGACGAGCACAGCATCACGAAAAAATTCCCTCTCCAACGGACCGAGCCATCTGCTGCCTCATGAAGGCCTTGCAGTGGCAGGAAATGCTTCGAGCCGTCAATGTGACAGGGTCATGCCTTGGCGTGAGCGGATTGGGACCTGCAGACAGAGCATCGTGCAGCGAGCAACGTCCGTGGTAGCGCCGAAGCCTCAGTGGCCGCATTCCGAAGGACGAAGGAGCCCACAAACGGCATGACTGGGCCTGGGCTGTGGAGCTGTGGAGCTGCACTCGCTCTTGAAATCGGATACTTCGCTCCTTGAACTTCCAACTCCTACTTCCCAAACCGGAAAGATCGAGAGAGTCAGAGAGAGTGAGGCAGAGAGAAAGAGAGAGAGAGAGAGAGAGAGAGAGAGAGAGAGAGAGACAGAGAGCGAGAGGGAGAAAGACTTCGATGCAGCGTGCCATAATTAAATCAACTGCAGGCTAGCTACAGGATTCAAATTCCCGTCCTCCTTATCTAAAATAGTCTTCCGGGCATTTTGGATCCTAGGCCTCCCAAGACAACCCTTGGAAAATTGAAGTTCTATACACTCGGGAACTCACAGGATCCCGGGTCTGCTCATCGGCTGCGATGAGGCTCACGAATCGGGCAGAGTCGGCTGTGGTGCGATCCAGAAAAGATGTGTGCAGGGACAGATGTGCTTGCTGCGACTCGGTTGCATGGAGAGTGCCGTGGACTGGAACTTGCCGCTGACTTCGATGATTGCGGAGACGCCATGGCCATCGGCCTAGAGCATCAAAAAGCGTCATCCGCCAGATCTGTGAGCACCGCTCCAGCTACCAGTCCGAGTTGCTGCTCTTGCCGTCCAGGATGCACCGGTTCGCTGGAAGCTTCAGTGCCGAGCATTTCGCATTTAACCACAGTGGAAGCCGACCTCGCTGGTGCTGGCGGTACGGAGCTCGGTCTCAAGGAACAGGCAGAAAGCAGGTCCTCAGCACCGTTTCAGTCACGTGGCGATAAGCGCAACGAGATGCCATCGTCCGACTATATTTAACTCTTGGCTCGTTTTCCCCTTTCGGTTGCACCTCCAGTCATTCTCTGATGCTCGCCGCAGAATGTCTTGCGCCTACGCCTTGATTGCTGGCTTCTCATGGCTCCCACCACTGTCTTACACGACAGTTGCGAACAGCTAAGAGTACTCTATCTCTAACATCCTTCGGGCTGTGGAGGACGCACGATTGAGACTGATGAAATCAAACCCAATACTGTTTTGAATGAAAAGCGCGCTGCAGCAGCGCAGTGGCATCTGGAATCCGACACTATCTGACGCATTCGCTATCGGACACTATCGTGAAGTGTTTCTATCGCCAGGCCACCAGAGCTGCAGTGACTTCGGAACGTGGTCGCAGCTCCGAAGCGAAGTGCCCAGGAATTCCTGGCCGCAAAGAACTCTCCGAAGCTCGCCTTCGAACTTCGGGGCGTTCCGGACGTTGACGCGGATCTCGAGAATGGAGAGACAAGAATGCAGGCTTCGCAAGAGCTGGCGGTGCGACAACACTTGCGGGCATACTTTGCATTCGTGGGGGTCCAGCACAAAGGTTGAGGTGACCGAAGGAGTTCGGCGGCGGAGCCGGAAGCGATGCTCTCGATGTCCAGCGTTCACAACTAGAAGCCCGGCCCCACCGAATACGAGGATCATGGTAAGTCGCCGGTCCCGGTGGCCCCAGGTTGATGGCACCCGCCACAATCGGCCCAGCAGGGTGTACCCATGGCTGCCAAGGATGCCCATACATCGTGCTACTTGCTTGCACCATATGACAAAACCTTCCTTCTGGCACTTTAATCTTCCGGTCGGCACTAACAAACTTAACCGCCGAATCATGAAGGTAGTTTATACAATGGGTCGTGACCCCCTGTGCAAAGAAAGCGACAACGGTGGCGAGTATAATCAAAGCGCCTGCTTGAAGTACTGCAAAGGCGTGGGGTGACAGCAACCCCAGCAGCAAGGCCACAGCACTTTTGGATGTACAGGTGAAACGGCCTCGGACTCAGCACCAAGTCGTTGCCAGGTGCGGCAGCGGACGGAGTGCAACGTAAGCCAATATCCAACTTCACTTGTCCTGAGCTCTCCCGAGCCACAATCAACGTTGGACAACAACAGCAATCATGCGAAGCCTAGGCGAAACCACGTTGCCTGCGAGCCAAGGACTTCTTCAATCAACAATTCCCTCCGAACTAGTATCAGCCAGCAGGCCTTTGCTTTTGCGGGAGGGCGCGTGAGCGTATAGGTAAGCACACCGCCCGTGCCTAGGCCGCTACTGCAGGCAAACAATGTGCAAAAATTAACATCTTGTCAACGGAAGCACAAATGCAGTAGCCGAGAACTCCCATCGATGTCAGCCTCTCAGGCTTGTGATCAATGCGACACGTCGGAAATGCATCGGAAACAAAGCGCCACAAATTTACGACAAGAGGCTCTGACGGATGCGTCAGTCTGCTCACGACAGTCGTGGCACACTTGTACGAGACATTGGCAACCTTTCGCTGATGCGACTCAAGCGGAATAAAGCAAGGCGAGTCCGCCAGCATGAGTAGCGCCGTGCCTGGATGGTCGTTGCAGACACCTCGGCCTGCTCCAGGCTGCACCACAAAAACATGACTGCCGGGAAGAGGACGAAACCCTTTCGGACATGTCTAGAGTCTAGAATGGCCCAGGGAGGACAAAGCCGATGATTTCTTGCACCATCGACACCGGTTTCTTGGATAGGCGAGTCGCTTGTGACTTCTGTCGGGTGTCACCTGTGACTTCACGAGAGGCGACTCGCTCGTGACTTCTGTCGGGTGTCACCTGTGACTTCTCTAGCCACCGAATTTGCAACACCTCTCAGCAAAAATGCATGA